ATAATATTAAAAAATAGAATAACGGATTGTTACTATTTGTAAGAAAATAATAATTAAATTTCTATAAAAAATAAGTTTTTCTAAAGTTGTTGTGAGTTATATATATATATACAAATGAAAATAGATAATTTTTTTAAAATAATAAGATAATTATAATGTGAAATTTGATTTAGAATTGATCAAGAAAAGTGATATTTTATTAGAAGAAATTGATGAGTTTTCATATAAATTTTTTTTTTGTATCTTCATATTATTGTTCTTGTGAACAATAAAACATCACTTCTTTTTTTGGTCAAGATTTTATTTATTTCCTATAGTATCTTCTCTACCTTGTCAAATTAGCTAGACCACAACCTTATATGATGGCCATGATTTCATAGAATATTAGGGTTGGTTAAAGGACCACTCCATCTTCCATTCAAGATAATGTCATCCCTCTCTTCATGCAGTTAAATTATTCTGTGCGGATGTGGACGCCGTTTGGAGGTGAATCAGAATGTGTCACGTCACTTTTTTGTTGTATACGTTGCTGTGTACCGCTGTGTATCTGGTGAAGTGGCACGTTCTAATTCATCTATGGACAGTCCGGTATCCGCGCAATTGAATTCCTTCTTCATGTAATGAGCAACTCAGCATGAAATAGAGACCACTCATAACAATAACAACATAAATAATAAGCCTATATGTTATCATGTAAATGCGTCATGCATGCGAGCTTAATTTGTATATTCTCATCGAAATCTCTCCACATTACATAATACATATATTCAAACCTTATAATCCCTAACTACTCTTCCATCATATCCTTAGGTAATCGTAAACAAGCCCTTATCATAATCTATAACCATTCTCCACACTATCCATACAACTTTCATTCAAATTGGCCTCCACACACGCCCATACAAACAATCCAAACTCTACATTAAAGCTCTTAATCACTTTCGAAATGCTACAACCCCCTAGACTATGCAACAACTAGTTGCTTCCATTAGCCCCTTAAATCCTCCAATATACCATAAAAAATGGCCATCTTCTTTGGCCCTTCAACTTCTCATTACAATTCTTCACTAACTAACTTTAGCAATGACGAGGCAATTGCTGGTGGTTCAAATGTTAGAATAGGAGATGATGACCATGCCACCATCATTATGTAAGGAAAAATTATTCTGTGAGGACACTAGATGTTGTTTAGAGACAAATCAGAATGTGTCACGTCAGTTTTTTTCTTAGTACCGGGTGACGTGGTGCATTCTGATTGGTCTCCGGACCTTTCAGTGTATGTACAGATCAATTTCTCTCAAGTAAGGGATTCACCCGATGCCATGTGGGATGGAGTTTATCGAGCGGTAGGGTGGAGGGGAGTTTAGAATCATTACGGAGATTGATATTTTGGTATGGGCACCAGCTTTATGAGTTAGAAATGTAAATACAAAATTTTAAAGGTTAAATATGTAAAAAAATATTAAATAATTAGGTTATAATTTTTTTCCCTATCATCCCTAATAAAAAAGAATTTCATAGTTGACATCTTAAAGCATTCATAGATTAGTCTTTTTTTATAACTTGAACATAGATCAACATAATAGAGAATTGTTACGCTTAGAGCTTGCGCATAGTCAGGGAAGCTAGGGTTAGGGCGTTATCGTTTGCCGGCTATCATGTCGGTGACGGCGGGTGTCAGCGACGCGGTGATCGCGATCCGCGACAAGCTCCGTGGGAAGATTGGGCAGACGAAGGTGAAGAGGTACTGGCCTGGCAAAGCGCCAGAATGGGCTGAGGAGGCAGAGGAGGATGCTGAATTCAGGACGGCAAGGGCTGCGGCACTCGAGAAAGCTTTTCCCATCCATGAAGATTCTTCTGCCAACATTTCGCGGAAGGACGATCGTAGGTTACGACGCCTGGCCGAGCTAAGGGCTGAGAATAAGGAAGAGGTGAGGGCCGACCACCGTCGGATCCGGCAAGCTGAGATCATTTCTACTATTGAAGAGGAGAGCAGCAGGCAGGATGGGTTGGATTTGGAAGAGGAGGATGAGGATGCCTTGGAGGAGAGGAGGAGGAGGATACGGGAGAAGCTGCTTCAGAGGGAGCAGGAAGAAGCTGCTACAGCACTTCCTACTGTGGAGGAGGAAGAGGAGATTGAGGAGGAGGAAGAGGAGGAGTCTGAATACGAGACTGACTCTGAAGAAGAGCAAATGGGCATTGCCATGGTGAAGCCTGTCTTCATCCCCAAGTCTCAGAGGGACACTATTGCCGAGCGTGAGAGGCTTGAAGAGGAGGAGAGACGTCTTGAGGAGCTTGCAAAGAGAAGAATTGAGGAGAGAAAGGTTGAGACAAAACAAATTGTTGTTGAGGAGATACGGAAAGATGAACAGATTCAGAAAAATTTGGAAGCTGATGCGGATATTGCAGATGTTGATACCGATGATGAATTGAACGAGGCTGATGAGTATGAATCTTGGAAGGTTAGGGAAATTGCAAGAATTAAGAGGGAAAGGGACGACAGAGAGGCAAGATTGAGGGAGAAGGAGGAAATTGAGAAGTTGAGGAATATGACGGAGGAGGAGCGCAGGGAATTGGAGAGGAAGAACCCTAAGCCTCTTCCTCAAACAAAGCAGAAGTGGAAGTTCATGCAGAAGTACTTCCACAAGGGTGCCTTCTTTCAGTCAGATGCTGATGATCATGCAACTACTGCTGGTACAGATTCAATCTACAGACGTGACTTCTCATCTCCTACAGGTGAAGATAAGATGGACAAGACTATTTTGCCTAAGGTTATGCAAGTCAAGCACTTTGGTCGCAGTGGAAGGACCAAATGGACTCATCTTGTCCAGGAAGATACTACTGATTGGAATACCCCGTATGTAAAATACTTCCTTTGCTGCAATTTTCCGATTCAATATATTGATCCTTCCAAGATAGTGAGTACGCTCTATTTTGGATTGTTATGCATTACCCTTTCACCTGAAATTTTAACCTGCACATGTAGTTGTTTAAGATTATTTTTGGGAGTATCAAAGGTGCAATCGATATTGATTATCTGCTTTCCCTTTTTTTTTTTTACATGATTCAGTGCTAATAGTTTCAATGTTTTTTTCACTATAAGGGCTGTTTGGTAGCAGGATTTAGGCCGGAATTGAGACGGATTTGAGTGAAATACAGCCATACGGCCTAAAATGCAAAACCAAATCTCACGGCAAATGAAAGCCGCCGCAGACGGAAAATTCAGCCAATTCGCACGAAAGCATGGATTTCTGAAATCCTATTTTTTGCAGGATTTACGAAATCCATTGCACCAAAGGGAAGAGTCTGCTCGTTAAATTCCCTCTATACCCAAACAGTCATACGAGATTTAATAGGATTTATCATGAATTTTACTAAACAGTTTTCAGGATTTAGTCCCCTCAGGATTTCCGAAATCCGGATTTAGAGGATTTACGAAATACTACTTAAATCAAATTCTCAGTGCTACCAAACAACCCCTAAAGGCCACAGTTATGGACTTTAAGGGATTTAATGTTATTATTAAAAAATATATATTTATGGAGCTCATTTAATTTTCATATTTGACCATTTTAAAATAGTTTTTCAAATCTTTCTTTGCAACCATAATTGTACGTGTCTTTTGATTCTCTTCTAATATTTTACTTATGCTGTGTAGGTGGACTGCTAATGGCCCTCTTCGAGCGAAGTACAATGCAAAAATGGCAGGCATGAATGCCCCAATAGAAAAACCCAAAGGGAGCAGGAAGTTGAAAGATTGGGAAAGTTCATAGGTCCTTTTCTTTGAAGTTCCTTTTTCATTTTAAGAACACGTTGAAGAGAACATTTTCACATAGCACAAGTAAGAGCTATCTTTGAGGTTAAATTGTGGTAATGAGTTCTATGTTCTGCAGCATTTACTCTACCATTTAATTTTATGATCTTTCATGATAGTAACTCTCCTTGGTTGGAGTATTTAAAAGTGTATTTGTATCTAGTTACTAAGTTCCATAATTGGATATCAGTTTAGTAGATTCCAATGGGACCTCAAATTTAGCCATGTATGAGGAGGATTTATTTGGTCGTTAATCTAGGTCTGTTATAAGTTCTTAAAAAAAAACCTTGATTGATCAGATATGATCTCCATTGTTACATTAATAAAATTTATAATGCAGCTTTTTATGCTTATTCTGGATTTAAGTGTTTCCCTTTAATTTTGATAGTATAACCGTCAAAAGTATGATTGTTATTCCAATGTTTACAGCTTAAAATATGATTCACAGGCCAGTATTTTACCTCTTTTTTTATGGAGGCTTCGTTAGGGATGACTTTTTTACTGCTTCTTAAAGCAGCTTTCTAGTATAAAAATTTAAATTTTTATGCTAAAAATTTGTTTTAAGAAGCCATAAGAAAGCCGTCTCAAACGAAACCTTAGTTTTTTTTTTTTTTTTTTAGCTACGGCTTCTTCTTGAGCAACTTACCATCACTTGGCAATGCCTTTCATTTATTCATGTTAAATACCATTGTAAATTCTAGAAAGTTGGAAAAGTTTCCCTTGTATAATGTAAATGATCACTCCTGCTTGTCTACCTCTTGGTTGGGATTGGTGGAGGTTAGATTGCGTTCATGATACTTAAATTAAGTAGAGTCTTTTGCATGGTTATTTAGAGTTTTTGTATTTATTAGCACATTTGGAGAGTGGCATTTGATCTAGAAAACTATATTTCATTTGAAAAAAAAAAACATTTTTATCCATGATTGATATCCATGACTGAGTTGGGGGTCCTGTGTCTTAGTTTTAGCGTAGAAGGTTAGTGTTGCTAAGGCAAGTTGGGTGCTTTTCTATGTGGTTAGGTGAGATTTGAGAAGAGGCCATAGCAATTCATGCAGCTCACTAGCGAGTGCCATTTCTAAAAGTTTTCCTAGATGATCGCCTTACCTTAAGGAAAAATTATTCTATGCAGACACTGGATGGTGTCTGGAGACCGACCAGAACATGCCATGTCATTTTTTTTGCTCTGTACCGGTGTGCGGTACTGCTCGGTGCTGGTTGACATGGCGCGTTCTGATTGATCTCCAGACCGTCCGGTGTCCGTACAGTCTACCTTAAGGCCCTGTATTGTGAGGCAAATTGTAAACACCTTGCCTTAATTTTAATATAAAGATGATTAACTTGAGGTTGGTTATATGGAGGGATACATATCATAGATGGCAAAGAGAGTATGAATGATGATGGAATAAATAGTTGTAAAGATTTATTTTTCTGGACAGAATAAGGATAACTTTCGTAATGCTTTAGTTAAAATATTTTTTGAATTAGAAATTTTTGTAAAAAAAAATTATTTTAGAAAACAATGAAAAAGCCGTCCCAAACTAAGCCTAATATTATTATGCTCATCCCAAAATTCCCGTTGATGCTTGAACTGCGATTATGTAATTCAGTATTTTTTTTTACTATACTTGCTGTAAATAACTGCACTTGCTCTTGTTTTTTAATGTGATTTGTGTTTTTGATTGATTGGCTTTTGATTTATTACATATTCGTTTTCACCCTTTATTTTTTTTCATTTTCCTAAAATGTGCCATGCTCAATTTGTAAAATCCATTGATATCTGAATGCTTCTGAAGTTGATTTCTTGCAGGCAGTTGCCAATGCAACCAGAGTGCAGCAGCCATGATAAATTTTCTGCTCCCTCTACTTAGGCTATGTTTGGGATAGCTTTTTTACTGCTTATTAAAGCAGTTTTCTAGTAGAAAAAAATTTAGTTTTTGTACTAAAAAATTGTTATAAGTAGTAAGAAAGTCATCCCAAACAAAACCTTGGGCAATTGATATCTGTTGTTTATCCTAGTTTCCTTATCGTTCTAATGCGATACTTCTAGATTGTTTGGAACGGCTTTCTTGCTGCTTCTAAAAACCACTTTCTAGTATCAAAATTTTTATTTTTTACTAGAAAGCGGCTTTTAGAAGCAACAGGACGTATAGTGTATATGTGTGATAGACAAAGTGCAGGGTGCTATTAGTGGAGAAGTTGAAAGAAGATTTGAACATCTCTGTTGCATGATTAATCTAGGTGGAGATATCAGCTCTAAGAACCATTCACATCAAGCAGGTTGGTACTTCAATAATTTTTTTTGACAAAATTAGAGTATATGCAGTTATTAGAAGGTTGGTGACTTGGTGTGGGATTGGAGTGATGGTGATGATAATTAATGGTGAAATATCTACAATATTTTCTTAGACAAAATAACCTATGGCAGCTGATAATGATTCTTCGATTTAGTTGGAACTAACTGCTCTTGTTAAGTTATTTAGGGATCATAATAATTTAGGATGACAGAACTATGAGATCTTAATCAAGTTCATCATCATTTCTCTCACCATCCACTTATAGTGTAAAGTGATAAATTTTCAACCTTATACTAAATGTGTTTGCACTATACAAACACTTAGCTTCTAATGACTAGGTTTAATATAAGTTCTCTCTCATCGTTGATAGGATCTAAGTTCTCTCTCGTTGTCGATACGGGACCACGGGTAATTAAGCATTGGGTCTTTTGCCTATGAAAAATCTGGAACCAGACCATGTAGTGCTTTCAAAATAACGGTGAAATCTTTGGATCTTATTGCAAATCTAATATGACTTCTAAAAATTTGATCCGAAAATAATCGATAGCGTTCTTAGTAGAGGCCGTTGTGTGAATTTTAGAAGCCCGCATATAGTTTTAATTTTGTAATTTAAATTTAATTTGGCTATTTGTATTATGTATTTGATATTCCACTATGTATACAAATGGAAGAAAATGAAGCTATCAAACTTTTTAGATAAAGTTTATGTTTTAATAACATTTGAATATTTTTTGACTCTTCTTTGAACTTCGCTTAGAATATGTTTTGAATTTGTCTATTCTACATTCATGTTTCTATTAAAAGCCCTTAGTAGCTAGCTAATTTTCACCTATATTTTTCTCATTACTAATAAAAATGATTAAAATTTAAATTTTATCACATGCCAAAACATTCAAACATGTAAAATACTTATCATAGGTGTTAAAAACTTGCCAATATAAGTGTTTAAAATGATTTTGGTAAGTCAAGCATGG